GTTACCTTTAATCACGTGAAAAAGCAACAAATTCATCAAATTTTCATATTTTCGTATCTACCTCGATATTGACGCATCTGATAACAAAAGTGCAAGAGAGCAATATTGTTAACAATAAAATTTGCTACAACTTTTGTACTAAAAGTTTTTTTGTAACATGCTGCGATTCCTACGGGTTACCTTTAATCACTTGAAAAAGCAACAAATTCATCAAATTTTCATATTTTCGCCGAATCAAATTGCAAAAAGTAAAGTTATTCATAAACCTTGAAAATAGACAAATCCAAATATGCATAAATATACAGTATGTTTCATTTAAAAAAAATACATTTTGTGTCGTCACACTTTTTTGAACCACCTGTATATGCGAAAATATTTTCTAGAAATACATTCATATATATAGTACATGTCTGCGTTTGAAAGAAATTCCTAACTTAATTGATATAGGAACTATGGATGCCTGACGCACTGTTGCAGGACCCTGTATATATTATTTGTTCGTTATATCCGATTTTCGTTCTAACGAAGATCCGTTATATCGAGTTTTTACCGCACTACTCAAAAATAAAAAAGTTTTTTTCTATTTTGTGAAAGTTCTCGTTATCTTCTTTTTTCTTCTCATCGGTCGTTGTTTCTTATTGTATGTAAATTCCTCTCAAACGACGTAATGACATCATTTTGAAAGTTCGACGAGAGTGGATCTCATCGTCGTTTCGTGCCGGGTTCATTCCACATTCCATGACATATACACGCGGGGTACCCCCTTATTTGTCACCGCGACTCTAATACGACAAGAAAAAATAGGAGACGAACGAGAAAAAAAGAGAGAGAGTGATATCTCATTAAGACCTCGTGAATATGCATTTATTCAAATTTATTTAGATCCTAACAAGTGATTTATCGCCGTTTCTAACAAATTATTATATCGTTTATTACAAATAATTTTTCGAAAAAATTTTTTTTTGATGTAATTGGTACGTTTTGAAAATTGCTTCAATTTCCTTTTGGCGAAACGCGGCCTAATAATACTCATTAGGATTAACGCTACGGGATGTGTTTCTTGGAATGGCAAAAAAGTTTGTTAAAGAGTGGAGAAAAATAAGATAAGAAGGTTGTAGAAGCCGGTGGAGAGAGGCGGTTTCAAAGTCTGTAATTAGAAGTGTGTTGGTCGTTGGGATGGCGATGGTTGAGGAAAAACGTTTCAAACGTAATTGCTTCATAAAACGAGACACCTTAATTATAATTATGATTTAGTTTTTATTTATTTATTTTAAAAAAGAATTAGAAATTAGAAACTCACCCCGGGCGTATTCGCTTGTGGCCCATATGGATATCTTGTCCATTCTAAACTCGCCTCTCCTGTTGTATCCAAAAGGATCACTAAAAAATAAATAATAAGGGGTTATTATAATAATTAAATAACAATATAATGTAATCTTTAAGACCTCGTTCTAAATCTAAATATAAATTTAAATCGTCTAATAGAATCAATGAAGGACGAAAATGAAAAATTTTTTTAATAATTATCATCTCAAGTTTTAAAAATGAAGATTTTCTGTGGGAACTTTCGGTTTCATTAGCACACACGCGATAATAAATTTCTTAGCAACTTGGTTGGAAAATACTCGCCGGTTATCATTTGCTTACTAATGAGAGGCGAAAGACGTTTTTATCTCAAATCTCTTTGTTCTTTTCGAAATGTGCTTTGAAGAAATCGTTTCAGCAAAATTAACTTTTATCTCTTTTAAAGGTTACAAAGCGATTTTTGTATTTATGGCACGACGGTTTTGATTACAACAAATATTTTTGCAAATTCTTTATTCAATTCTAAATATTTTTCTTTTTTTTTTTAGATGCAACTGGATTTTGTGTCCAAAACGCACCAAATTTACTGGCATTATTTCCAAAGAAGGTAAGTGTTTGATACCTGCCAATTTTGAAATACTTATTACTTAAAAAAATATGCTGCGTGACCATTAGCAGTAGTACCAAGGGTAATTCTTGAGTTATAAGGATAACTTTGCTCTTCCATTGTTGTCAACTTTGCGCTATGCTATTCATTGCGGTATTCATTGAAGTTGTAGCCGATTATTATGTTAAGTATAAATAGCATGTTAAATAACAGAGAAAAAAATAGGACAGAATAAGACAGAAAGAAAATCGGATTAAGCGAAAAATGATTGGAAAAGAGCAGATGACATCAAGTCTCAGATAGTCTCAGACATCAGACTGTGCTCTAATAGAAAGACTACGAGATGTTATATTGGAGAATTAAAAAGTAGCACAAGTTGACGGACTGAATCTGGGGCTGCCAGGACAATACAGAATCCATCATCACCCCCCAAGTTTTTAACTATTTCAAAGAATTGTATGATGTTACCATCAAGCAGCGTTGCCAACCCTACCGATTTATCGGTAGATAAAAGTATTATGAAACACATCGTACTTAAAATCAATACAATTGCGACAAAAATTGTACTTTATGGGAATAAAGTACTTCTACTGCATAAAAGTATATACCAACGATACGGCAATGTCGCTCGAGCAACGTTGCCAGATCGTTGGTATATACTGTACATGTCATAAGTAAAGTCTCTGCTTAATTTGAAGACGGTTGAAAATATACTATAGTCAAAATAGATATTGACGTATCTAAGAGCAAAAATAGAAGAGAGCAATATTGTTAACAATAAAATTTGCAACAATTTTTGTTATAAAAGTTTTCTTATAGCAAGCTCCGATTCTCAAGTGTTACCTTTAATAACTTGAAAGAGCAACAAATTCATAAAATTTTCTTATTTTCGTATCTATCTCGATATTGACGCATTTAAGAGCAAACGTGCAAGAGAGCAATATTGTTAACAATAAAATTTGCTACAACTTTTGTACTAAAAGTTTTTTTGTAACATGCTGCAATTCCTAAGGGTTACCTTTAATCACTTGAAAAAGCAACAAATTCATAAAATTTTCATATTTTCGTATCTATCTCGATATTGACGCATTTAAGAACAAATATGCAAGAGAGCAATATTGTCAACAATAAAATTTGCAACCATTTTTGTTATAAAAGTTTTCTTGTAGCAAGCTCCGATTCCCAAGTGTTACCTTTAATAACTTAAAAGAACAACAAATTCATCAAATTTTCATATTTTCGTATCTACCTCGATATTGACGTATCTAAGAGTAAACGTGCAAGAGAGCAATATTGTTAACAATAAAATTTGCAACAATTTTTGTTATAAAAGTTTTCTTATAGCAAACTCTGATTCCCAAGTGTTACCTTTAATAACTTGAAAGTGTAACAAATCCATAAAATTTTCATATTTTCGTATCTATCTCGATATTGACACATTTAAGAACAGAGGTGCAAGAGAGCAATATTGTTAATAATAAAATTTGCTACAACTTTTGTACTAAAAGTTTTGTTGTAACATGTTGCGATTCCTAAGAGTTACCTTTAATAACATGAAAAAGCAACAAATTCATCAAATTTTCATATTTCCGTATCTACCTCGATATGTATCTAAGAGCAAAAGTGTAAGAGAGCAATATTGTTAGCAATAAAATTTGCTGCAACTTTTGTACTAAAAGTTTTCTTGTAACATACTGCGATTCCTAAGGGTTACCTTTAATCACTTGAAAAAGCAACAAATTCATCAAATTTTCATATCTACCTCGATATTAACCCATTTAAGAGTAAAAGTGCAAGAGAGCAATATTGTTAACAATAAAATTTGTAACAATTTTTGTTATAAAAGTTTTCTTATAGCAAGCTCCGATTCTCAAGTGTTACCTTTAATAACTTGAAAGAGCAACAAATTCATCAAATATTCATATTTTCATATCTACCTCGATATTCATGAATCTAAGAGTAAAAGTGCAAGAGAGCAATATTGTTAACAGTAAAATTTGTAACAATTTTTGTTATAAAAGTTTTCTTATAGCAAGCTCCGATTCCTAGGTGTTACCTTTAATAACTTGAAAGAGCAACAAATTCATCAAATTTTCATATTTTCGTATCTGCCTCGATATTGACGTATCTAAGAGTAAAAGTGCAAGAGAGCAATATTGTTAACAATAAAATTTGCTGCAACTTTTGTACTAAAAGTTTTTTTGTAACATACTGCGATTCCCAAGTGTTACCTTTAATAACTTGAAAGAGCAACAAATTCATCAAATTTTCATATTTCCGTATCTACCTCGATATTGACGTATCTAAGAGTAAAAGTGCAAGAGAGCAATATTGTTAACAATAAAATTTGCTACAACTTTTGTACTAAATTTTTTTTTGTAACATGCTGCGATTCCTAAGGGTTACCTTTAATCACTTGAAAAAGCAACAAATTCATCAAATTTTCATATCTATCTCGATATTGACGCATTTAAGAGTAAAAGTGCAAGAGAGCAATATTGTTAACAATAAAATTTGCAACAATTCTTGTTATAAAGGTTTTCTTATAGCAAACTCCGATTCCTAAGTGGTACCTTTAATAATTTGAAAGAGAAACAAATTCATAAAATTTTCATATTTTCGTATATATCTCGATATTGACGCATTTAAGAGTAAAAATGCAAGAGAGCAATATTGGTAACAATGAAATTTGCTACAATTTTTGTACTAAAAGTTTTTTTGTATCATACTGCGATTCCTAAGGGTTACCTTTAATCACTTGAAAGAGCAACAAATTCATAAAATTTTCATATTTTCGTATCTATCTCGATATTGACGCATTTAAGAGCTAAAGTGCACGAGAGCAATATTGTTAACAATAAAATTTGCTACAACTTTTGTGCTAAAAGTTTTTTTGTAACATGCTGCGATTCCTAAGGATTACCTTTAATCACTTGAACAAGCAACAAATTCATCAAATTTTCATATTTTCGTATCTACCTCGATATTAACGTATCTAAGAATAAAAGTGCAAGAGAGCAATATTATTAACAATAAAATTTGCAACCATTTTTGTTATAAAAGTTTTCTTATAGCATAATCCGATTCCCAAACGTTACCTATAATATCTTGAAAAATAAACAATTTTTTAAAATTTTCATATTTTTGTATTTTTCTCGATATTGACGTATCTAATAGCAAAAGTGCAAGAGAGCAATATTGTTAACAATAAAATTTGCAACAATTCTTGTTATAAAAGTTTTCTTATAGCAAACTCCGATTCCTAAGTGTTACCTTTAATAACTTGAAAGAGCAACAAATTGATCAAATTTTCATATTTTCGTATCTACCTCGATATTGACGTATCTAAGAGTAAAAGTGCAAGAGAGCAATATTGTTAACAATAAAATTTGCAACAATTTTTGTTATAAAAGTTTTCTTATAGCAAGCTCCGATTCCCAAGTGTTACCTTTAATAACTTGAAAGAGCAACAAATTCATCAAATTTTCATATTTTCGTATTTATCTCGATATTGACGCATTTAAGAGCAAAAGTGCAAGAGAGCAATATCGTTAACAATAAAATTTGCAACAATTTTTGTTATAAAAGTTTTCTTATAGCATGCTCCGATTCCCAAGTGTTACCTATGATAACTTGAACGAGCTACAGATTCATAAAATTTTCATATTTTTGTATCTATCACGATATTGACGTATCTAAGAGCAAAAGTGCAAGACAGCAATATTGTTAACAATAATATTTGCAACAATTCTTGTTATAAATGTTTTTTTATAGCAAGCTCCGATTCCCAAGTGTTACCTTTAATAACTTGAAAGACCAACAAATTCATAAAATTTTCATATTTTCGTATCTATCTCTATATTGACGCATTTAAGAGTAAACGTGCAAGAGAGCAATATTGTTAACAATAACATTTGCAACAATTCTTGTTATAAAAGTTTTCTTATAGCAAGCTCCGATTCCTCAGTGTTACCTTTAATAACTTGAAAAAGCAACAAATTTTCATATTTTCGTATCTACCTCGATATTGACGTATCTAAGAGTCGTATCTAATATCGTACTTTCTACCGCTTGAAGGTGGTAAACGAAAAATTTGCATGCCCATGTTTTTAAATACACTTGGTATTAAAAAAAGTGTGGTGGATATAGCTATGAAAAAGCGTACAACTCTAAATGTAGCATCTTGCCATGGAAGAGGAAAGGATAAAAGCAAATCATCAGACCCTTCTATAGTGGAATGTATAAAGACACATATTAAGAGCTTTCCTTGTATTCCGTCGCATTATCTAATCTAAATTTAGCTACTATGTATCGAACGTATGAAGAATGGTGTAAGGAACATGATAGGCAAAAGCAAAATTATCTGCATATCGCAACATTTTTAATAATAACTTTAATTTGGGATAAACTCATCAGAATTCCAAACAAGAGGCGAGAGAGACTAAAAAGCAGGATAAGGAAGATGCTATTGCACGTGAAAATGTTTCGACCTACAACTTTGATTTGCAACAAATCTTGCTTTGCCCGAGTGACCCAAACAATAACGCTGTATTCTACAAACGACGTTTAGTTACCTACAACTTCACAATTTATAATGTAAAAACCACTGAAGGAGATTGCTTTATGTGGCATG